CAGCAATTGGCCTTAAACACAGACACATATGTGCAACACCGCATGGATTCAGCATGTTTTATATGTATGTAAATATATAAATATGTATATATGTAAGTGTGTCTATAACAATAAAAATTTTTTAAAAGGGAGCTCATGAATTTGGAATGTAGAGAAACAAGGGAGAAGCTGGCATGGGAGAGGGAGAGGGAGAGAGAGAGAGAGAAAGAGAGAGAGAGAGGGAGAGAGAGAGAGAGAGAGGGAGAGAGAGAGAGAGAGGGAGAGAGAGAGAGAGAGAGGAAATGATGTAGATACAATGCTCATGTATGAGAGTCTAAAATAACCCAAAAGTTAAAAAATTTTGTATCTTTGATATTTTTAGTTTATAGTTGCTAGGTTTTTGAGGGAAGTGTGTGTGTGTGTGTGTGTGTGCACATGTACATGTCATAGGGTATGTTTGCCCAGGCATAGGCTGGAAGTTAATGTTGGGATGTCTTCCACAGTCCCTCCTCTATTTTTTGAGATAGCGTCTCTCACTGAACTTTACCAACTCAACATTTCAACTAGATGCTTGGCCAGTGAGCCCCCAGGATACAGTCGTCTCTCCCTCCCTCTCCCATCCCTGTGAGCACTAAGTTTACAGGCATAGTTATGACCTGCTTTTACATGGGTAGTGGGATCTGAACTCAGCAAACACTTTACTCACTGAGCCACTTCTCAGATCCAGGAATTAGGTTTCTGACACCTTAATCTTAGTCTAATGTGCTTGCTATTTATAGGGTTTGAAATTCACCTGGAATTCCTGCACTCAACAGTTGGATTTTGTTCCAAGCAGTACTGATAGTGCAAAAATGGATAAAAGGGCTATTATGGATTTTTCAAGCACAGCTCTTTCTCATTTCTGGCTATCTTGGAGTCTGGGCCATTTTTATTGATCAATAAATTTTATTTCCAAATAAAAATGTAGTATTTCAAGAGTTTACTTTCGGTAAGCTACAACATTTGGAGAAATTATGGACCAGAAAGAAATTTCAAAGAATTGACCAATGTTTTATAGTAAAGGGGAAAAAATGTTAAGGGTAACTGTTCAACTCTACCAGCATTTGCTCCATGCTATTAAATTAATTGCTTTTAAAAGGGTGTTTGCAATGAGTTCCACTCAGCTATTCACTTCTATACCAGTTCCTTCTCAAGGTAATGACTGATCCTAAGAAGCCTTCCCTGCATAGTAGGTGGAGAACTGAATTTTCAAAACTGTAGGGTGACTTCAGTATGTCTTGCCAATAAAGATACTCTCATAATGTGTGTGTCATTAGTTTGTCACTGAACCATAAATAGGCCCAAATTCTTACACAAAAATGTCTCTTCAAAAACAACTGATTACTTTGCCTTTGACCATTGGAAAGTGGCCCAGTCTATTCTGAAGCTCCCAAACAGGGTGTGCCTCCTCACTGAGTACTGTTTGCAAAATGAACCCTCCCATAAAAGAGGGCATCAAGCTGCTCTCTTAATAACCTGATACTTATTTAGTTAAGCTGAGTTCAATTGTTTTGGCTTGAGCCTGATAAATTCTTTTTCCATCTTCTGACTAAAAACATTGCTTCATACTATTCCAAGAGGACTGACTTCCCATTGCAAAAAAGTTAAAGTATATTGCTATTCACTTAGCACTTTCATAGATGGATTTTCACTTTATTGGTTTTTCTATTGAGATGTGTGTGTGTGTGTGTGTGTGTGTGTGTGTGAGAGAGAGAGAGAGAGAGAGAGAGAGAGAGAGAGAGAGAGAGAGAGATGCAACAAAGACTATAGAAGGATGTTATAGGATGTTATTCAGTGCCCTTCCCTATCCATTCTCCCTCACTCCATTGAAACAGTGTCTTAATTAGTAGCCTGTTAGGTCTCAATGGAGCAACCTAACTCTGGCTGCCAGCAAGCTCCAGAGATCTCCCTACCCAATTCCAAGCACTAGGGTAAACAAGCATACTGGGAACCATAACTGACATTTTACGTGGGCTGTAGGGATTTGAACTCAGCACCGCATGCTTTCAGAGGAAAAGCACTTACCCACTAATTCTTCCCCCTAGACCCTCCCTAGTACTTTAGTGTACTTTCTTCTTTTTTTCTCAATCCCTTGATAAATTCTATTCAACTCAAGTGGCACAGATGGCCCTTACCCTTCCAGTGTATCGTGTGAAACAAATATGGCCTGTTTGCCAACCCCATCTATGTGGTCAGAGACTTGTTTGGCAGTGATAATGTGGATCAAGGTGGACCTCATAGAGTGATTCCTTTTCAGGGAAAACCTTGCATTTTTCTCAGTGGGACTGAAGCAACTAGGAATGCCTCATTGTCCCGTGCAGAGAACAGAGATGACATTGGAACCAAGAGAAGGCTAGGGGAAGAGAAGGCAAAGCCTCAGTAGTGTCCTCATCACTCATGTCAGGACTGCATGCAGACTTATAGTTGTTGATTTAATATATTCTTCCTTTTTTTCCTTTTGGCTAATTTGAGTGAATTCTCTCTGCTGCAATCGAGGACAACTCAGGAACTGATGAGAAGTTGTCAGAGGAGGATGCTGAGGAGTGAGTTGTACCATCCTTTGTGAAGGGAACCCTAGAGTATTAAACAGTAGCTGCACTTAGGTAGTTTGAGCATACTGAGTGCTCTACTGGACACATCGACTCTGCGTTATCTTACACAATACTCAATAGATAAAAAAATAACAAAATAAAATGTGAGCTTGTTTCCCCAGTGGGTTGCCCTGTATTTAATAACTTAAACATTTGTAAACCACTCAACATTAAGAACTGCTTGAACCCCATCTTGCATTTTCCTGGAGGAAGCTAGACACAGCTTCATTAAGCACTGGAGCCGCCACCACCACTAAGACAGACAAAGGCAGTAGGAGCCCACAAATAAACATCCAATTCTTTAGGATTTGTAGCAACTGTTTCCTCTGAATGGTTTCTCTCTCCTTGTGGAGATTTCACATTGCTGCTGGTCCTTGGGGATGGAGCTGTTTCTGAACTCAGGCCTTGCAACTGCAAACAACCATCTCTTTATAGAACTACTGTTCTGAGCTTAGCACTGAAGTCTAATTCTCTGGCCAGCGCTTGGTTCAGCCTTACATGACTCACTGTGGATTTGATTCCACTGTTTGCCTTTCCTAAGGGTTAACCTGGAGGAAAGTCTCCAGTGTACTGTTTGGTAATAAATGAAGAGTAGCCGCATGGCTGGCTTATTGTTCCAACTAAACCTTGGGGCAGTTTCCTGTGTTTGAGTTGATATTCCCAATTGAGACAGCAGAAAATAAATATCTAGGGACACAATTCAGATAAAAGAAAGGGTCTAGGTTTTACTCCACCAACACAACCAAGAAAATTAAGTGATTTCTGGCACTGTTGTAAATGCATCTCTTGGATTACCTCAATAAATCAGTAACTGCTCCTATAAAGTAATCTGATTATTAATTTTAATTCACAGTTGACAAAAACAGAAAGTTTAAACAAGTTGGCTAGAACCTAGAGCTGGGACAGCTAGTTAGAGGAGATCAACAGTTATGCTCAGAATTGATTGAAGGCTGCTTACCTGAAAGCTGGGTGATGGAACCTTCCCAGAATACACTACAGTAGAAAAAGCATACAACAGGGGCACAGGGTGTCTTTCCCACCATTGGCTCTGGCAATAACTGTCTTCGAAGCTCTGGATGAATCATCTCATCTCCCCAGGCCTGGGTTTCTCTATGTAAGATGAAGGTTGGAAACTATCTGGATTAGACAAGTCTCCAAGTTCTCTACCTCTATAATTATTACACCATGACCTCAGATGTATGGGTGTGTCTCGCCACATATGCTTGGATACACATACACAGGCTTGCATGCTTGTGGGAATGTCCACCATACTTCCCAAGGCAAAAACTTAATTGCTCTGAGAAGCTTCACCACAGTTTGATGTTAAACCCTGAACCCCAGTGAGCGCACTCTAGAACATAGAAATAGTTTTAAAATCTGGCAAAAAAAATGGGAAGAAGGAAACAAACAATCAAAAAGGAAGGAAAGGAAGGAGGAAAGAGAGGGAGAGAAAAAAAAGTTGATGCATCTGATTTAAATGTTAATGCAAAACAAAACAACAAAACACACACCAAATGTTCCTCTTTTACCTGTTTTCTGGAACATTAACTTGAAACCTTTGCTTTGGTTTATTAGATATAGGTAGCTTCTCTTTGGGAGCACATGTGTTTTGAGATTTGTCTCCTTTTTTATGATAGGAAAGAGAAAATGTCAAAGGTATACCACAAAACCCAGCAGGAGGTACCCAGAACATCTTGAGAGAATGCTACCCAGGAAAAAGAAAATTACAGCTGCACAGATGTAGGATGCATTCTGGTCTCAGGTTCTTTCCTTTTCCTGTCACCTTAACAGAGTTGTCACAGCATGTAAAACGTTACAGCCTGTACCATGTTACCTGCACAGCTTTAGAGCAAAAAGTATCAGAAGTGTCTGGGGAAAATAATTGCATTATTTTTAGTTGCTGCAGAGATAGATGCAGCAGGAATCAGGTGGAGAGGACAACTTGGGAGAACGGAACTGGAAATGCTAAAAATACGGCTTCCCCAGCAACTGAAATTTTAAGCAAAAACTTAGGAAGGGCCAGAGAGGAAGATGAAGTTAGAATTTATAACTCTTAGCTGTGGTCATTTTGTTATTAAGATCAGGAAGAGGGAGCACAGGGGGCTTACCCAAACAGTGGGGGGTTCCATGTGGAACAGGGGAGGTACAAAGAGACAACGTTGAACTGAGAATAGGGGTGGGGGAGGGATGACATGTCTACTGCATCTAGTACCTCAAGCAAAGCCTGTGTGGAGAATGGCTGGGAAATCCAAGTCGTTTCTAGAAGCAACCTTCTTTCTGTGAGTGCGAGCCCAGCAGACAGACGCCATGAGCGCTGTTGCAAGAAAGCAAGGCTGTGTTTGACACACGTGTTTCCCATTGATATCTGGAGACAGCCCAGTAGCTGGGAGTCAGCTTGACAAAACCGGATCGAAGTAGAGGCAGAGTAGGGTTTCAAAGCAGGCAGTGAGAGAGCGGGAATGCTGTTCAGGAAATTCTTCAGGCATGGGCAGGGACTTGGCTGCGGTTGTGCGGCTGGAAAATCTGACTGGGGCAGCTCCTGAGCGCAGGCAGGGCCTGCTCACATGGGCGGGCTGAGTGGCCGCCTCCATCAGAGCCTCTCAGCTTTCCCCAGGACCACGGGGGACTCTCATCCGCCACTCTGTGAAACAGACAAGGAGAGGTAGGGGACTGAGCAGCTCTTGCCTTACCAGCCTGGCCTCCTGAGCCCCGTCTGCTGTTTATTCACACACTGGGGGGGAAGGGGGGGTGCTGGGGGGGGGGCGGAGAGGCCATGTTTATGTGTGAATTAATACATTTCAGCCCCATCATGTGGGCAGAGGGACTGGGTGCTTCTCAGCTTTGTTTGCCCTCAAAGGGAGTTTCAACAGAGCACGGGCACTTTTGAAAGTTAGCACTACACAGCTAACAGCACTGGGGAAGGAAAAGTGTATGGATTCCTGTGTTGTCACTCTGTTCCAGCGGTCTGGAAGTTTCCCTTTCTGCTTCATGGGACAACTTGATTGACTGCAAAGATAGTCTCCCATGAAGACGTTCCCATTTTTAATGCTTCAAGGTTTTTAAAAGGGGGGTGTTCCAAGCAGGAAACCCTTCTCTGTTTTGGAGGGAATCAGAGTTTGAAGTTTTTATTTTGGAATACACTTTTCTTTTTTGGTAGGAACAGATGTGTGTGTATGGGTTTCTGGTGTTTAATTTCCAAATGTAGCTTTGACTCTCTTATGTGAAATTTGAATAGCAATAATATATTTGCATTGAAATATGTTGGATTGCTATTCTGCTTTGGTAAGCAATCCCCCTTTTACTCGGTGGAAGAAATAACCTGTAGCTTAATAAATGCTTCTGTATTTTAGAACAGATAGTAGAGCAATAGCGTAAAACAGTCAGTTTGAAAGCTCACTGTTAAGAATAGAGACAAATAATGTGAATGTTTTATCGACTACTCCATTTTATTTTCACCTAACTAAAAAGTAGTGCATTAAAAATATTGACTAATTTTTAGCAGAAGAGAATCTTACCTTTCTTCTTCAATTTTAGTTCTTTCTTATACATATACATTATATTGTAGTATATATAATATCCTTCCTAGGACTACTATATTACTCCTTTCTGTATATGTATTAAGGAGACAAGCCTCACAGTGTCACTGTCTTTAAGAGCTTGACTCAGCTCATACAAGTTTGGACTAAAGCTTATCCATCCTGTTTTAGGGCTACTTGCTGATCAGTCAGTCCATGGCAAATCCAAAGGGGACTTGGGCAAGAGCCTGCCTAGGGAAAACAGAGCAAAGGGTGGAGTCCTTGAATACTAGGTCATTACCATAGAGCCACTAGACCTTTCGGGTGCTTCTCTTAGAAAATGGGGTGAGTTTAAGTCAGGGTCCTGAACTTCTCTAATAGGCCATTGTTCATTGTCTATACTGAATGGTGAGGAGATGAATACAAGGTAGATGTTGGGACGTCTCACTTTCTCCAGTCCTGGACCTAAGAGGAGTAGGCAGAAGTCCATGCTGTTGATAGATTTTTTAGATAAGCAGGTGGTACTTACTTTCCTCATAGTTTTGTTTTTGGAGGATGAAATCAGTGTATGACTGACAGCTGGCTTTCTTAGTCTTGAGCGATAGTTCACACATGTTTTCCTTATTATCTTTATCTTTGTGTCAGAAGGGGTAGAGTTGGGCAGGGTGGGGCAGGGTGGGGCAGCTTAAAGAATTTCAGGACTCCCTACAGGCGAGGGAGGGCAGTTAGAAGTCAAGATGGACCATGGCTCTCTTTTCTGGTGCCCGGGCAGATTAGTAACTAAGCTGAACCACAGCCAAACACCCATTGCCAGTAACAGAGACAGAGAGTGATCTGGAATGTCATCCCCCTCTAAATTTAGTATGTGTCAAGCTTTCTGCAGAAAGAGGCGTGACATAGCAACTCCGGGTTGCAAGATTGTGCGGAGCAGTGCCCAAACTGGGAAGAAACTCTGTAGTTTCTCTTTTCAAAAGACTGAATCTCAAGTTCTCTTGTGATTTGAAAGGAGGGGTCAGGGGAAGAAGAGGGCAGAGAAGAAATCTGGTACAGTGGTGGATCCAGTAAGAACAGAGCTCCGCAAATGAACATGGGGCACAGAGGGGGATCTCTTCCCAGGAAATTAGAACACTTAAGAGAATTCACCAGATACTGCTTTGCTGGTCTTAACATGAAGGTAACTCACAGCCTCAGTGCAGAAGGCTGTTTTACCTTCTTCACAAGGAGAAACATTATGGTCAGCCTGCCCTGAAGTGCCTTCTGGAAGTAATCAGAAAGCACATTTTGTAAGAATAGCATTACCCAGAGGGCTCAGATTTCCGAAGCAGGAGAGAACAGGCTCTTGGGGCCTTATTTTAGCCTGTATTCCTTGCAGAGCTATTCCTGCAGGAACACTGAGTGAAGGGACCAGGTGGACATGAGCAAACCACTACTGGAACAAAGCTATTCCAGGCTCTTCTAGACCTACTTTATTAAAACAAAGTTTTGAAAAAGAGGATCATGTTATGTATGCCTTTTTAGAGCAAAACAAATGAATGCTCTTATGATTTTTTTCTCCAGAGATACAGGACTGATAGATACAGCGATATAAAGGGTAGCTAGAATAAAGGTGACAGATACAAAGACACAAAGTGTTGTGGAGAGAAAGAGAATAGAAAATAGATGAGAAGAAAGAAAGAAAGAAAGAAAGAAAGAAAGAAAGAAAGAAAGATGATAGATAGATAGATAGATAGATAGATAGACAGATATGCACAGAGAAGTAATAAATATATAGATGGGTCTAGAAAGACACATTGATGGAGAAAGGAAATAAATGATTGATAACTAGATTCAAGTTAGATGATAAAATAAATAAAAGATGCATAGATAGACTAGGTAAGAAGATAGAATACACAGGATGATAATCAACAGACAGATAAGAGGGAGGGCAGAGATGATAGATAAATAGATTGGTAGCTAGATTCAGAGACAGAGATTTGGAGAGAGATGTTAAGTAGATGATAGATGATAGATATGTAGAAGGAATAGTTAAGGAGATACATAGTTAGAATTGATAGACAATTAATGACAGATCCAATGATGGACAGACAGTTGATAGATTTATTATACAAACTGTCTAATAACACTATGAAAGTCCAGAACTGCCATGACATTAGTCAAACTGCTGTTGGAGCCTGAGAAAATGGGGTGGTATCACTCAAAGTGGGTTGGGGGTCCATGGGCAAGTATAACTCACAGACTGAGACCTAGAGGTTTGTGAAACAGGAGAGGGAATCCCAATGGGTGCTTTCCTAAGCTTGAGAATCCAAGGGCTCACATCCAGGGAATTATATGTTTGCCAACATTCCAGAGAAATGCTGTTCCTTCCGGAGGAATGCTGTTCCTGACAAGTCTGGCTTTATAGAGCCTGCAGGCAACTGGAAAGGGATGACTTTGGAATACTCTCTTCTGATAGAGCCCAGGTGCATTATTTTTTCCTATATGTTGGGATTTTGTAGGAGATTTCATTGGAAAATAAAGTTTAAGAGCTGTGTCAGTGAAGACCTCATTTAGCCACCAGTCCTTCAAACCCTGCTTGTAGTCATCTAAGCATTAAAGGATTGTTTTCTCATGTACAGTTGGAGATCAGACTTATGAACCCAGGGAGCACTGGGGCAGGGAGCACTGCTTCCCCTACTTCCAATAGACTTTATGTTGAGGGTGATATTTAAATAGGTGGCATTCAGTCTGGCTTTTCATAATCATCCACTGGGTTCCCGACGAGCCTAGGCCTGCAGCCATGAGCAGTGGTGGCCGTACTGCCACTGCTCAGCTTGGGCCTCCTGCTCAGTTGGTCAGAGACACCAGCTCTACCACCCATGAGATGCCAGCATGGGAGACGGCTCTGTCAATCTTCCATGCTGTCTCGCAAGGCTGGGCATTGCCCAGACCATCCTTCCATCCACACAGGCCCAGTAGGAAAATGAGACTCCAATGCTTAAACATGGTACTGCTCAATAACAATATGCCCATAAATTAGAGTTGTTTCCCAATTACCTAACCTAAATATAAGTTGTTACCCAGGACTTCTCTCCATACCTACGTGGCTCTCCATCCTCCTACATCTCTGCTCTCTGTACCTCCTCCCCTTACTCCCCTTACTCCTCCTCTTCCTTTCCCTGCTCCTCCCCCCTTAGCTCCTCCTACAACTTTATATCCTCTTTTTATTTCTATGTGTTATCCACAAGCCAGGAAAATAGTAACAGAAGATGAAGTCCTCCAGACTCCTTTAATCAGGAAGGAATAACCTCATTATAATCTCACCATGATGCCTCAAAGCGCTTTGGCAGAACTGGGTTCAAAGTTCACTGGTCAGGCACCAGCCCCTTGGAGTAGTAACACTGTAAGGACTGTCTTTGGCCAGTCTTTCATTCTCTGAGACTACACTGGAAATCATAAGTTGAGGTAAAGGTTTTTTGACTAGTGATATGAATCAGAGTATTGTTAGCACCTGAAACTAAGGAGAGAGTCTGTGACATGCTTCATAGATAGTATTGCCCACAGTTCTTGACATTAGGAAAAGAAGAACCAAATACATTTGAACTAATCTTTTTGTTGTTGTTGTAGTTGTTGTTGTTGCTGTTGTTGTTAAAATGACATAACATTCTAAGACCAGAGAAAGAATCGCTTGGTTAAGAAGAACAGGAAATCTAGCATAGAGCCAGTGCTTCTGGGATCCTGGCACCAAGACTGGGTCATGCGTGTGATTTAAGTGTTCTTGCTCAGTAATAATGCCTAGCTACACTTTAGAAGTTTTATTAGACAGCAAAACATTGTACTGGGGTCTGAGTAAGATAAGAAGCCTCAGAAGCCACCAATGTACATAGTTGTCAAAACCCACCAAATCTGAAGTGAAAGTTGGAGAAATCTCAGTTCTAATGATGTCTCACCCTCAGGTTTTGTCTAATCCAAGTCAAACTACAGGTTAAGAATAGACTTGTGAAATACCATTTTGACTTTTGCCTACTGCAGAAATCCTACTATGGTACTGGTGGCAAATGCCAGAAAGATGTGACACAACATCTTGAGTGGCAGCTTCACTTGCTCTACCATGAGGCAGTTTAGGGGCTACTTCTTCTCTCAAGCATGATCAAATTGGGCCCAATATGCA